AAAAAAAAATGGAGCAAAAGCGCGAGTGGGGGGGATGAGAAAGTTTTAACAGAAAATATACGAGAAATTTAACTTTCAGAGCTGTACATAGGCCGGGGCGTGTAGAAATCCCGTTTTTACCAATACCGGAACCACTGGATGTTATTTTAAATAAAGCGCGTGAGAAGCCGAGGCCGCCTGATCCCTCCTTGGGGAGCTCGGGGTGGGGGTCTGGGGGGCACAGCGGTGACAAGGGCTTGGTCGAGGACAGCTCGCTGCTGCTCTGCTCCTTCCTGTCCCCACAAGGTCTCTGACCCACCCTCGCCGTGTCCCCCTCCCCCCAAAACCAGTGACCCTCCCCTGGGCTACCCCGAGCTGGCAACTGGCAACTCGGGGTTTTCTTTCCGGATATCCTGGAGTTAGGGGTGCCCCGGAGTTAGGGGTGTCCCAGAACCCGGAGCTGGGTGCCAAAGGATTTGGGATGCCCCATGAGTGGGGATATCCTGGAGTTAGGGGTGTCCCAGAGCCCCAAGCTGGGTGTCCCAGGATTTGGGGTGCTCCATGACTGGGGATATCCTGGAGTTAGGGGTGTCCTGGAGCCCCAAGCTGGGTGTCCCAGGATTTGGGGTGCTCCATGACTGGGGATATCTTGGAGTTAGGGGTGTCCCGGAGCTCTGAGCTGGGTGTGGCGAGATTTGGGATGCCCCATGAGTGGGGATATCTCTGAGTCAGGGGTGTCCCCGATTTAGGGGTGTTCCTGGAGCCCCAAGCTGGGTGTCGAAGGATTTGGGGTGCTCTATGAGTGGGGATATCCCGGAGTTAGGGGTGTCCCGGACCCCCGAGCTGGGTGTCCCGGAATTGGGAGTGAAACGGGACTCGGGGTACTGGAGGCTTTGCGGGGTCCCGGGGACCCCCACGTTTGTCACAACCCCCGCTCCTTTCCCGGGGGCTCCGTGTCCGTGTCCCCCTGCCCCGGGCCATCCCCAGGTGTGTCCCGCCGTGTCCCCAAACCCCCAAACACGTGTGAGACCCCCCAGCCCCAAAAAAACCTTCCCCGTGACCCGGCGGGAGGGGAAGGGCTCCGGGCGGCCGGGAGTCAGCGAGCGGTGCCAGCAGGGCCGGGAACGGAACCGGGACCGGAGCCGGAGTGGTTCCGAGAACCGGGCGGAGGTGGGACTGGGAACAGGGCCGAAGCGGGACCGGGAACCGGGCGGAAACTGGGGCAGGAACCGGGCGGAAGCGGGGCATGAACGGGGACAGGAACCGGGCGGAAGAGGGGCACGATCCGGGACAGGAACGCGGGCAGGAACCGGGCGGAAGCGGGGCACGATCCGGGACAGGAACCGGGCGGAAGCGGGGCACGATCCGGGACAGGAACCGGGCGGAAGCGGGACAGGAACGCGGGCAGGAACCGGGCGGAAGCGGGGCACGATCCGGGACAGGAACCGGGCGGAAGCGGGAGCAGGAACCGGGACAGGAACCGGGCGGAAGCGGGAGCAGGAACCGGGACAGGAACCGGGCGGAAGCGGGAGCAGGAACCGGGACAGGAACCGGCGCAGCGGCGCCTCGGGACGGAGCGGGACCCATGGAGGTTGTGGGAGGGACGGCGGGCCCGGGGGGGACACGGGGGATCGCGGCCGGGACCGCGGCCACGTCTGACCCGGCCCCGTCTGTCCGCAGGATCCCGGCCCCGAGCCTGACCCCGGCCCCGGCCCCGGCCCGGCCGCCGAGAGCCCGGCGGAGCGGAGCGCCTCGGGGCTGGAAGGTGATTCCGAGGGAGCCCGGGGGGTCCCGGCATGCGGGAGGAGACCCGGGGGTCGTTTGGGTGTCCCAAGGGCTGCAGCTGCTGGGGGGTTCTGTCCTGGAGTGGGGGGCATCCGGAGCTGGGTGTGGCAAGATTTGGGATGCGCCATGAGTGGGGATATCCTGGAGTTAGGGGTGTCCCCGAGTTAGGGGTGTCCCGGAGCCCTGGGCTGGGTGCCAAAGGATTTGGGGTGCTCCATGAGTGGGGATATCCCGGAGTTAGGGGTGTCCCGGAGCCCCAAGCTGGGTGTGGCAGGATTTGGGATGCCCCATGAGTGGGGATATCCCGGAGTTAGGGGTGTCCCCGAGTTAGGGGTGTCCCGGAGCCCTGAGCTGGGTGCCAAAGGATTTGGGGTGCTCCATGAGTGGGGATATCCTGGAGTTAGGGGTGTCCCAGAGTTAGGGGTGTCCCGGAGCCCTGAGCTGGGTGCCAAAGGATTTGGGGTGCTCCATGAGTGGGGATATCCCGGAGTTACGGGTGTCCCAGAGTTAGGGGTGTCCGAGAGCCCCGAGCTGGATGTCCCGGAATTTGGAGTGAAACGGGACTTGGGGCATTTGAGGCTTTGCGGTGTCCCGGGATTTGGGGTATCCTGGGTATTGGTGCATCATGGGATTTGGGGAGTCTGGGACTGGGGGTGTCCCGGAATTGGGGATGTCCCGGGTTTTGGGGTGCTCCAGGTTTTGGGGTGCCGCCTGACGCTGCCACCCCAGGGGACACTCACCGCGGTGCCTACACCGCCTTCATGAAATCCCATCGCTGCTACGACCTGATCCCCACCAGCTCCAAACTGGTCGTCTTCGACACATCCCTGCAGGTGTGCCAGGGCCGGGGGGACACTTTTGGGGCCAGGGAGGCACTTTTGGGGCTCCCTGACCCCCGTGCCTGCAGGTGAAGAAGGCGTTCTTTGCGCTGGTCACCAACGGTGTCCGGGCAGCCCCGCTCTGGGACAGCAAAAAGCAAAGTTTTGTAGGTGAGTGAGGGGTCCGGGGGTCTCTGGGGGCTGAGGGGGGCTGGCAGGACTCTCCTCACCCTGCCTGCCCCCCAGGGATGCTGACCATCACCGACTTCATCAACATCCTGCACCGCTACTACAAATCCCCCATGGTGAGTGCTGGGGTCTACCGGGGGCTCAGGTCGGGCTCTGCCTGCCCCACCTGGCCCTGGGTGGGTGATCTGGGTTTCTCCTCCTCCTCACAGGTGCAGATCTATGAGCTGGAGGAACATAAAATAGAGACATGGAGAGGTGAGGGGGTTCACTGCTGGCTGCCTCCTGCCCTTCCCGGCATGGCCGGAGCCCCCCAGGGCTGTGCCCCACCCCCCCATCCCCTCACCCACCCCTCTCCCCACAGAGGTTTATCTGCAAGACTCCTTCAAGCCACTGGTCTGCATTTCCCCCAATGCCAGGTACCCCGGGGGGCAGGGAGAGGGGCACAGCTGGTGGTGGCACCCCGAGGAACACCCCAAATCCCCCCTCCCTTCCCCCCCCACAGCCTGTTTGACGCCGTCTCCTCCCTGATCCGGAACAAGATCCATCGCCTGCCTGTCATCGACCCCGACTCGGGGAACACGCTCTACATCCTCACCCACAAACGCATCCTCAAGTTCCTCAAGCTCTTTGTAAGTCTCTGCCCCTTGGTGATGGTGGGGGCCAGACCAGGATGTTCACCCTGCGCTGCACCAGGGGCCACCCTGAGCCTCTCAGCCCAGGCTGTGCCAGAGGTTGCCCCAGGACCCCCATCCTGGGCTGTGCCAGGTCCTTGAGCCTTGTGCTACCCTGGGACTCCCAGTCCGGGCTGTACAAAGTGCCAGGTCCCTGTGCCAGGGGCTGCCCTGAGACCCCCATCTCAGGCTGAGCCAAAAGCTGCCCCAGAACCTTTGGCTGCTTCAGGGCTCACTGAAACCCCCATCCTGGGTTGTGCAGGTCCTGCACACCGGCCACCACCAGCTCTGGGTGGGCACAGCTCTGGTACCACACACTGCAGTGCCAGAGGACCCCCAGGACCCTCCCCACCGCCCCTGCCTGGGGGTCCCACAACCCCCCCTGCTCTGCACCCCAGCTCTTTCTGCTTTCACCCCCAGGCCTGGGCTCAGCGCCGTCCCCTCGCTGTCCCCGCAGATCGCAGAGGTGCCCAAGCCTGAGTTCATGGCGCGGACGTTGGAGGAGCTGCGGATCGGCACCTACAGCAACATCGCCGTGGTTGGCACCAGCACCCCCATCTACGTGGCCCTGGGCATCTTCGTGCAGCACCGCGTCTCCGCGCTGCCCGTGGTCGATGACTCGGGTAAGGACGTCCCGTCCTCGCTTTGGCTGTCCCCAAGTGACCTCTTTGGGGGCCGTGTCCCCTCCACAGCGCCGGGGGCTTGGCTGAGCTCCTCCCCTCCCTCCCCAGGGCGCGTGGTGGACATCTACTCTAAATTCGACGTTATTGTGAGTACTGTTTGGGGAAAATCCCGGGCTGGGGGGGACGCTGTGGGGTGTTGGGGGTGTTCTAACCCCAGCTGTGTCCCCAATGCTTGTCCCTGCCTCAGAACCTGGCAGCTGAAAAGACCTACAACAACCTGGACGTGACGGTGACGCGGGCGCTGCAGCACCGCTCCCACTATTTCGAGGGCGTCCTCAAGTGTTACAAGCACGAGACGCTGGAAACCATCATCAACCGCCTGGTCGAGGCCGAGGTAACTGTCCCGGGGTGCTGGGGGGTCGTGGTGGGTGGAGGCCGGGGTCCCTGCACCCCCTCAGCCCCTCTCTGTGTTCCCCCTCCCCAGGTCCACCGGCTGGTGGTGGTGGATGAGAGTGATGTGGTTAAAGGGATCGTCTCCCTCTCGGACATCCTGCAAGCCCTGGTCCTCCCACAGGGCCCCTGAGGCAGTGAGGGAGGGGGGTTCAGTCCTCCCAAGCCCCCCCAACTCTCTTCTGTAACACTGTGCCCCCCCCGGGCTGCTGGGGACACCCAGGGAATGCCCCCGCTCACCAGCAGCATCCAGCAATAACCCCCAGCCCTGGGGCAGCCCCTGCTGCCCTTCCCTGGGTGGGGGGAGCCTGCAGACCCCCCCCCATGCCGTGCCCAGCACCCCAAAGCCGTGAGGGTGATTGGGGGCAGCCCTCGAACCCCGTGGGGTGCCAGGCCAGGGTCACCCATAGCCATGCCAGGGCTGTTCCCGTGTGGCCTCTCGTCCCTGTCACCCTGCACCCTCTCCCTGGGTTTGGTGAAACCCACTCAGCTCCACCCGGCCTGGGGACCCCCCCACGCCCCCGGGGGTTTCCCCCCAGGTTCCCCCGGCTGTGCCCACACCCGCCACTGCTTCGTGTGCGAGGAGAAACCACGAATAAACACAGACCTGGCACCACCCTGGCTCCGTGTGGGGCACGGGGAGCACTGCCCGGGGACGGGGTGTGTGGGAGGGGGTGTGACCACCCCGTGGGAAGGGGGAATCTGCTGAGCTCGCCCAGACCCTAAATCCCTGTTTGTTACGCCTGTGGCTTTTCTAAAAGGCCAGGACTGGGGATGGGACAGGGACAGGGACCTGGCAGGACATGGGGACTCTCTGGTGGGCACCAAGGTGAGCAGGGGGCAGTCAGGCAGGGGCTGGGGGAGGTTGAGGGGGGATCTGGATGTTCGGCTGCCGTGGGGGGCCGGCGGGGGTCGCAGGCAGCCGGGACACCGGAGTTTGCAGCCGGTGTCCGCAGGGGAGGTGCGAGGCCTGGCCGTGCTGAGCGAGGCACATTCCTGGCGGGGAGGGGACGGCCGGCCCGGGGACCCTGTCCGTGCCAGTCCCGGGCTCCGGCAGAGGCCGCGGAGCGAGGTGAGCGCCGGGCAGGTACCGGGGGCCCGGGGGACTCGCGGGGGGGGCCGTGCCGGTTGCCATGCCGCCGGCGGAGGGTTGCTAAGCTCCGCTCGGAGCCCGCGTGGGCTGCAGCGCTTGGTGCCAAACCCGCCATCGCCTGCTTGTCGCAGGGGGGGAAGGGATCCCGCGGGGGGAGTGGGGGGGGACACAAACACACACACGCGACACGGCACCCCTGGGACGGCCCGTGGGGTCCCCGCCGTGCGCCGCTCTCCCGGCCGCCCCGGGGGTCAGCGTGGCCCCAAGGTGGCACCGGGCGGGACACGGGGTCCCCGGGGGCACACGTGCGGCAGGTGGGTGCGTGTGGGCGGGCTCGTGGCTCCGCCGAGGCTCCGGTGAGCCCCCCGCGGCGGGGACCCCCCTCTCGGCCGGGGCGATGCTGGGGGGTCCGGAGCGGGGTGCGGGGCGCCTGCGGATCTGCGAGCGGACCAAGCTGGTGCTGGTGGAGATCGACACGGTGGCGTGTTGCAGCCCTGGTACCGGCATGGCTGCGGGGTGCTGGCCCGAGCCCCCCTGGACCTACCGCCGCATCGCCGGGGAGTACGCGTGAGTGGGGACCGCGGGGTGGGGGGGGTCTGTCCTGCTCCCCTCCCTCGCTCCCCTCGCTCCCCTCACTCCCCGTCTCTGTCTTGCAGGTACCTGGAGAAGCGCTTTGTGGCCGAGCTGGCCCCCCCCTGGCCCCCAGTGCCCTCCAACCCCCCTTGTCGCCTGCAGGACTTCACCGCCCGGCCCCGGGTACCCCCCACCCCCTGCCCCCCGCGACAGCTTGAGGGGCCGGGGGGCAGTGGACCCTGGCGGGGGCACCCCGTGCCCGCGCCTCGGCTCCCGGTGTCGGGGGACAAGCTGGGCCCCCCCACCTACGAGGTGCACATGCAGCGGGTGCAGGCAGCCCACGCCCGCCGCGGGGCACCCCCCCCTTACATCGCACCCCCCGCCTATGACGGTCCCCACCGCACCCTGCAGCTCCGCCCCCCGCGGGGACCCCGCAGCCCCCCGCCGGCTCCTCGGGCCCGGGGGGCTGTGCCGGGGGGCTGGAGCCACACACTGCCCCGGGCGGCCACCGAGGCCAAGCACCGGTGGCCCCGCGGGATGCAGCTGTCCCCAGGAGGGCCCGGCACGCCCCGGCACTGCCAGACGCTGCCACGGGCAGCAGCCGGCCGGGAGCGGGTGCCGGGGCGCGGGAGGGGACAGCGGGGGACGGGGGGACACGTCCTCATTGACGCCACCCGTGTGGTGGTCCGGGCCCAGTACGTGCCACCCCCGCAGCGACAGCAGGTCCGCTATGCCGGGGGCTCCCTGGGACCTGGCACCCCTCCTCGCAGCCCTTCCGTGCCCTCCGCGGTTGGCAGCCCTTCTGCCGTCCCCTCGCCGCCCCGGGAGCCCTCCGGCAGCCCCCGCAGCCCGTGGCAGAGCCCGGGGGGCTGCAGGGCTGCCCGCGGGCGGCCCCCGCCGCGGCGGCCGGCGCTGTACGCCCAGGCGCTGCGGGAAGCCGTGTCCCGCATCCGCCGGCACACGGCGCCCGACTCGGACTCGGATGCCGAGGGCAGCGTGGGGGGCTCCCGGCAGCGGCTCTGCCGAGACCCCCGCGCCTACAGCAGCAGCAGCAGCAGCCTGGAGAGCACCGGGGCCGGCCCGGGCCCCGCCAGCCCCACCCCGGCCTGAGCGATGGGGCTTGGCGGGGTGTGGTCCTCGGGGCGGGGCTTGGCGGGGTGTGGTCATCGGGGGCGGGGCTCAGGACCGCGGTTCCCACGGGCTGACCCCAATAAAAGCTCCGCCATCCCGGTGTGCTGCCTCTGCCCCTGTTTGGGGGGTCGGGGGGTGGGCATCACCCCCTCAGGCCTCTCTGTGACTCCCCCCCCAGCAAGGACACGGGTGCCTGGGCACGCCCCCACGACATTCCCGGTGTCCGGATCCCCTCCCCCGTTATGTTGCCGGGGTCAGTCGGAGGTCCCGGGTGTCCCGGCGGCCACCACGGTGCGTCACAACACCGGCAGGACGTGCCAGCTTTCCCCCCCCGCCCGTGCCCCCCGTAATGAGTAGGTGAGCGCAGCAGGGCTGGCCCTCGGCCACCGGCCCCACGTCACGGCCGGGGGGGGACCCCGTGTGACTCACCGGGGGGGATCTGTCCCCCCCAAACAGCCGCCACCTCTTAGTCACGCCGCGGGTGGGGTGGGGGGGGAGGATCCCCGCGGCCCCAGGAAACCGCACAAATATCGTGTCCAATTTGCACGTTATTTAAAACCGGCTCCTCCCCCGCCCCCCTGTGCGACCCTGTCATTATCCCGGTGACACCGGCCCGGAGGTCACGGCACGGGGCAGCTGCCGCAGCAAGGCCACCCGGTAGGCTGGGGGGGGGGGCACCCCCAGGGCCACGTCACCCCATGTGTCCCCTGTCCTGGCACGTGGCCAGGGTGGCACCGATGTCCCCATACCTGGGTCTGGCCTGAGCCGCAACGGCGACTGCAGCCCACCGTGGCACAGCTGTGGTCCTGCACCCGCTACAGTGGCACCTGGCACGGCTTGGCATGGCCTGGCACGGCATAGGATGGTTGGCAAGGTGTGGTATGAGCCACATGCCTTGTCACGGATTGTCATGGCATGATGCAGTCTGCCACAGCCTGGCACAGTTTGGAACATGGCTTGGTATGGCCCAGCACAGCTTGGCACAGCTCTGCTTGGCACAGCAGCCTGGCATGGCTTGGCAAAGCCCAGAAGTACCAAGCACAACTCGGCAGCCTTGGCACGGCTTTACATGGCAAAAAACAGCCCAGCAAAGCTCAGAACAGCTCAGTGCAGCCTGGCAGAGCTTGGCACAGCCTGATACCACCTGACATGGCTCAGCACAGCTCAGCATGGCTCAGCAAAGCCCAGGACACTTGGCACAGCCTGTTTGGCACAGCTCATCACAGCTGGGCACAACTTGGCACTGCTCAGCATAGCATGGCATGGTTCAGTTTGGCACAAGACATCATGGCATGGCCAGCACAGCTTCCCAAAGCCCGGAACAACCCAGAAACAGCTCTTTGCAACCTGGCACGGCTTGGCACAGCTCAACACAAACGAACACAACTTGACACAGGCTGGTATAGCCTGGCATGGCTCAGCACAGCCTGGCACAGCCCAGGCCAACACGTCATGCCTCGGCTCGGCGCGGTGCCCGGCGTGGCGCGGGGTGTCCCAGACGCGGGGGCAGCGGCGCGGCCCTTCCCGTGGGATCAGCTCCTGCCCAAACCCGCTCCCCGCCGGGAAAATCACCTTCTAATTCGGGCTGCGCCGGCGCCAGCGCCTTCCCCCGGCACCCCCGGGGCACCCGCCGGCCCCCGAAACTCGCCGCAGCCTGGGGTGCCCCCGGGGCAGCGGGGGCTCAGCCCGTGGGGGTGCCAACGCGTGGCACCGGGGAGCCCCGCCCGGTACCGGAGCCCCCGGAGAGGGACGCGTTGTCGCCTGTGGCCGCCAGATGTCGCCGCGCAGCCGGTGACCGATCGCACCGGGGGACACCGGGGGGCACCGGGGGGCACCGGGGGGCACCGGGGGGCACCGGGGGTCCTCCCTACCCCTGTGTCCCCAGAGAGCCGTCAGCCACTGTGACATCCGCGCCGGTGCTGTCTGAGAGGCACGGCAGTCCCGTGTGTCACCAGGGCTGGCGATGTCCCCAGGGTGCTGTGACCCTCGTGTGTCACCGGTGACGGTGGTGTCCCCACAGGGCTGGGTCCGAGGATGTGCCAGCTCTGGCGGTGCTACCAGAGAGCCGTGACATGTGTCGTGGGTGCTGGTGGGTCTGAGAGCCACGACGCTTGTGTGTCACCTGTGACAGCGATGTCACCACAGACCTGTGCCCGTGTGTGTGCTGCTGCGGCTGCTGTCCCCAGACAGCCGCGACCCGTGTGTGTCACTGGTGGTGACTGGCGTCCCCAGAGAGCCGTGTCTCATGTGTCACTGGTGTTGGCAATGTCCCAAAGCAGCCACATCCGTGCGTGTGCCAGTGCTGGCGGTGACTTTCGTGTGTCGCTGGTGACAATGGTGTCCCTAGAGATTTGCGTCCATGTGTGTGCTGCTGTTAGGAGTGTCCCCGCAGAGCCGTGACCCACACGTGCAGCTGCACTGGCCGTGCCACAACCCACGCGTGCCAGCGGTACTGTCCGTGTCCCCACAGCGCGGTGGCACCTGGTTGCAGCCGGTGCCGGCCACGCCACATTCCTGAACATCCCGATCCCCATCCCTGTCCCCATCCCCGTCCCCGTTCCCGTTCCCGTCCCCGTCCCCAGCGTGTCCCCGCGTCCCAGCGCTCCTGCCCGCGGTGCCGGCTCTCCCAGGCCGCGCGAGGAGCCGGTGGGAAGGGTCCGGTGAATGCGGCATTGTTGCGCGGGGTTGGAGTCACAGATAATTACCTCAATTAGTTACAATGGCAGAGTAATAAATACAGGCTTAGCGGCTCCTTCCCCACTGCGGCTTCTCAGATTAATCCAGCCCGGGCGAGCGGAGCTGAAAGGATTGATGGACAA